AAAAAAAAAAAAAAAAACAAGCGTGCTACAATTATCGTATCAATCGCGTGTGTACCAGTCTCTCAAGAACTACATGCTCTTTGCAAGTTTCTCTGTTTCACTAAAAAAATGAGCGAATAATCTATGCGTAATCTAAAAATAATCAACAATAAATAACATGATATAAAATAATCAACAATAAATAACATGATATAGTATGATACAATCAATATATAATGATAGTCAAAAGTAGTCACAAATGGATATTCGTAATAATATTTAATGAATAACTGTTTTTCATAAATCTTAAATCTTAATAAATTTATAAATTTATTAGGTTCGGTTATCGTGGTAAATTTTGAATATTTATGATAGTAGTCTAGGTAAATGATATAGATAATAATAATTTATAAAGTAAATTTAAGTAAAATAAATATAAATGATATAAATAATAAATGATATAAATAATAAATGATATAAATAATAATAATAAAAAAAATAAATTTAAGTATAAAGTAATTTATAAAGTAAATTTAAAGAAATAATGTCATCATCATCATTATTTTTCTTCCCTTTCCAATTGATCATGCATTTGATCGTTATAAATAAATATGAGCTTCTCAATTAACGAGAATTAAGTTTGTTATAAAAATAGTAAGTGTTAATTTAGTTTGCGTATATCTTTTCTACATTGATAAAAAATAAGCATTAATTTTTGCATCAATAAGCAAGTAATGACAATAGTTTATTTATTATATTCTAGTCAGTTTGTCATTGAAAGAAATTTTCTTTACAATAAAGTTACATTCTGTTTTGAATTTGTAAATTATCACATTGGAAAGTCCAATTTCTGCGATATTAAGAAAAAGGAGTTCATTTGTCAATTAAGGTGCTCGTATGCTATATAAATTAGAAAAATATCGAGATCATTCTTGATTCACGTTACATTGTGAAACAGAAAAATTCCAATTCTTTGCGTGGATTTCACTGGCGCGACATTTCGAGCAGTATAATAAAGTTGTGGCCAATTTCGTTCTTACATAATAGAACGATTCTCCTAATCGGTCATGAAATAGTCATCCTTTGACCTCAATATGTGTCTAAGAATTCGGTCGCTGTATTCTATGACAAATAAAAATTAAAAAAAGGAACAAAGAAAGTGAAAAATGTCATTTTCAAAAAGTATGATCGATCATGTTGATCATCCGTGAAATTAAAAGTGCAATGACAAGTAAGAACATAAAATCAAACTGACACTGAAAAACGTATTTAAAAAATAAGTGTAAAATAATTATGAATGAAATCAAAGTGACGCTGAAAAATTCATGAAAAAAATTAATTATTTGACAAATTCTTCGTTCAATTGTACTAATTGTAATCGCGTGTAACAATCAGTGCTCGTACATTTCAAAAATTGATGAAGATGAAAAATAGAAGAAAGTCTTTCGTTCAATTTGATATCGTCAAAGCGACACAAATGATGATGAGAAATAAATAAAAAATGGTAGCAGGAAAATTTTCAAAGTACAAAAGGGATGTAGAAAAGTAGATAAAACACCTTGTTGACAAGTTCTCAATATTACATAAGTTTCAAAGAGTATATCACGAATAAAAGAAAAAAGGAAATATTTAAATCCAACAGTTGTCAAAATTTGTTAATGTGGTTGCAGAATAATTTCAAACTTGATATAAGGATAGGGAAAATCCTCTTACCTTGACGATAATTCGCCAAATTCGTTCCTTCAAACAGAAACACCGGTGTCAGCTCCCGAAATGCAAACTGATCTCCGTGACGAGCAAACGCGCAGGTAGAAGTGCATCTTGTCGGGCGGCAGAACCGTCACTAACGAGATGAGTCTCTCCTCCTTTCGATACCTCGAATCAGCACCGAAGGTCGTCGCCGTTTTTACGAAATACCTCGCATCGACAGTTCTACGAAATTCTAGTGTGCCTCGTTCATTCATCTCACCTCTGGTTGCGTTCATGAGGCAGAATTTCTCTCGATGACGCGACGATCGTGATCTCGACACGTCCACGCACAAAGATCGAGCAAAAAACAAATAATTCTTGCGCAACACTTGCCAAAATACATGTGACGAGTATTTATTAACGAGTAAAGTTCAGAGTTCTCACCTTTAGATGGGTTTCAGAACTTTCGACTTTATCGGCTTTAAATCTTCCCGCGAAAATGAAAGAAAATATGCAGTGGATGAGTGGAGTAATTTTCAATCTTAAAGAGCGTATTAAAGTTGAAAGAGAAATATAAATTATCTTCAAGTACTGAATTTCTTACATTGACTTTAAATTTTTACAGAATTTGCACTAGAGGAGTTAAAATGAAAGACAAATGGAAACATATGGAGTATTGAATTTTTAAAGAAAGACATAAATTATTTTAAAGTATCGGTTCAATCGGTGGAATTGCGAACGACGCCTAACATACGGTAAATCGTTGAATTCCTGCGCATAGCAGGAAGCAAGTCTGCAGGCCATACATTCTAAACAAACAGCTATCTGCATCAAGAAATTTTATTATCGTAAATTAACTACTATTTGAGGAGGTCAACGATAATCAGGAGAATGGAATATTCTTGGCGTGACAATTAATCGTTCATCGATACCTTAGATACGCTTGTAACTAGGTGGGGATGGCTCAGTCAGTAGAGCATCAGACTCAATCTGAGAGTCCAGGGTTCGAAAAAAAGAGACATTGTCCTTTAGGACAACAGTATGGGAGAGCTCTGTGTGTATAAAAAGGTCCCGGAGCTCTTCCAACGTGCGGAGAATTCCTTAAAAGACTCAGGTGTCTTGTGAAGATTTCCTCCACAAATAAAAAAAAAAGAAAAAAGATACACGTTTGCAACTAGGACAATTGCACGCATTTCCATTTGAATCTTCAGCTAGAACAGGTACAAAGTTCGTCGAATGTTTCAACCTACATTCACGCGAGGACGCGAATAGTAAGATGTTAGTCACACGCAACTTTTAATCTTACCTCTGGAGAAATTCTTTGAATATTTAGAACACTCACTTACTACGCGTATCGATCTTATGCCCAGTCTCTGTATCCGATTACGTGTGCTTTAGAAAGACATACCGAACAAGGTTTTCCAACCTGACAGTTACACGCGAATTATTTCGTATAATTGCAGCGAGCACACAAGTTGCATAATTTTGACGAGAGTCAATAAAGTTGATCGTTAGGAAACTGCGCGACGTACATTGTCAGCTGTCGCATTCTTATCCCTGTTTTCCGTCGTCTCTTCCCGTTCGATCGAGTGTTTGAATATTGCTTTCACCGGACACGGAAGTCTGGAGAAATGATTAACAGCCGTTTCCTGGAATCGCATTTTTCTCGGTGTCGCGAGATAACGCTCGATTAATTTCATGTTTAATAATAGATAACACGGCTGGATATAGCTCGAGCGAGTGTTGAAAAGCAGTAATTTATAGGTAAGAATGGTAATTCAAATGTAGCATTATAATACTCTTTCATTTACAACTTCGACTAAGATTTACATAACTGTGAAGGTTTAAACTTTTGCAAGCAAGCCTTATTTCTTCTATACTTCCATTGCTGCTGCTACTAATTAGACTGCAAACGTTTTATGTAAACTCACTTTTTTATTCAATCTAGAAACCTAGATGGAGAAGTGTTTCATCTGATGACAGTATACGAACTGCAATTTGAATATTTTATTCGCATTTCTACGCTTACAATTTCTCATAAACGCTCATGAAAATTCGCGCAAAAAAGTGTATAAGTTATTTGCAAGCAGAAAGACAAGTATTTCTACAATCGCAAGAAAAAAAGAAAAGAAAAGAAAAGAAATAAAACAAATTGAAGTTAATGAAACGACTAACTGCGTGACAGATTCGCGTCGCTGTTGTATATAGAAATTATCCTATGTACAAAATCTTCAATTGAAAAAGTATTCTCCGACGACAGAGATTCTATCTTACAACAAACGTTCATACGTTTATTCGAACGGAAACACAGCCAACAAGCTGTAAATCGTAACAAACGCACCTACTTCCTCGAAAATCTAATATCGCACATTTGACATTTAGTTCGTGAGAGCGATGCATCGTTCAAACTATGTAAGTCTCATTGTACTTTCTCAACACGCAATCATTGAACCTTTTATTTTACTTTATGGCAGTGAATTTCGGCAGGAAACGAAGCAATGAGAGATTAGTCATTGTCGAAAATTTGTAAATAGTAAATTGAAAGTTTAATCCTTTCACAGTCGATGGCAGTGTAATACTAAACCTTAATAAGTTACATAAAAGATAACTGAAACTAAGAGTATAACTGTGTAAATGACCGTTTATCGAAAAATTGTCGATGATCGAACTGACATTTGTAAAAAAAAGAATTATATAATCCTTTTAAAGCGTGAAGCCTCTACTTTGACAGTCATCCATTTTTTTTTTTTTCTTCAAGATTTTATTTTACATCACGTAGCAAGTGAGTAGAAAAGTGAGGATTTTTGAAAGAAAAATAATACAGAATTCGTCTTTTTCATGATTACATTCGCTACGATTTTGAAGATTGAAATTTCCTTTTTGCAATGAGACCTTAAAACTCGCTGTACGATTTTTTTTGTTTTCACCATTTCATTGAATTTGGAACGAGATGTTAGGATTTCTTGAATTTTTCTCGTCCAACCTCAGTGTTAAATAAAATTGCGAAGGGAATTGCATGGCAAGTTTTCAAACGAAGACTTCAACGTAATGGTAGATCTAGTTACGAAAAGAATCTTTTTGATATCCTTATATACTTTGTTTTGAACTTTAACATTTTCTCTTATTATATGATGTAAAGTCATCTTCGAAAAGATGAACTCACAGCTATCAAAGTAGAAGCTTCACGCTATAAAATGAAACCATGTAGACCTTTACATGATCTATTTTTGTGAAATTATATTATTATATTTAAATCGTTAACAAGTTTTTCATTGACATAGTTATGTTCTTCACTGTATATTTCATCTCTCAAACGGACTGCGTCTTCTGATTCTCTGTATTTAACGAAAGCTAATCTTTCAAGCACAAAATGTAAAACAATTCGAAGTAGTCGAACTAGTCGATGTACGAAGAACAATGAAAAATGTAATTCCTCCCGTAGGAAACAAATCTCTTTAATCAACATCTAACAAGCACCTTTAGCTACACCTGAGGTCTTTTTGATCACGATTCACGCGAGGAACGAAAGACGACGAGCAATCCTAACTTCGACTTCTATCTAGGTATCTAATTCTGTACAATTCAGGAGACTGAAATGTTCGTCGTCAATCAGAATCCCGCCGTGAAAGTCTCTGAAGTGATAATTGAGCTATGTTGCTACTGTCCTCGGCAGGTTTCTTCTATTTGTGATCCACTTTTGACTTTGACACCGTACTGTGAGGGAAAATCCCGTTGAGCACTGGCTTGAGAATGTTGAAAACGGTCTGTGTTCGACGTGCCGAATTCTGAAAATCATGAAATTCTCATTATAACTCGAATTCGATTTAACTTGAACATTAAATCTAACAATGATTTTCAGTTTTCTTTTTTTCTAATCGAAATGCAATATTTTTGACTTATTCTTCTGCTTCCTAGAGATTTAACTAGAATTATCGGCAAGTAAAACGATACGTATCTACGAGAAATTATCTAAATTTCTAAAGATGTTGTGAATCTGCAAAATCTCTATGTAACATTTAAAAATTACGAATTGTTGACCAGGCGGTACGATATTTCTAGTAAATGAGTCTGGACTAGCAGACTTTGCCAAATTGATTTAGCACGCATCCGTTCAGATCAACGCGTGAATGTCTCGACTTTGATCACAACGATTTTGCAACGGACTCGAGTGAAGGGTGACACGTTTACAATAATTAGTCGATCCGATGCGGGGGAAAAATCGTTGGAGATCGAATAGAAGTTCGAGCAGAATCCTGGCAACGCCCAATCCTCATTTCGATTGAAGAAAATGTCGACTCCTGTCCTGTTTTTCGTTGGACAAACGAGTAAGCTTCGATCGGTTTTAATGAATAAAAAAAAAAAAGAAAGAAAAAAAAAATAGCTACTTACGAGTTTTGCATTTTTCGCTTACCATGATCGCCCTATTTAGAACTTTGGTGACGTTAGTAATCACTGTGAATCCAGAACCAAATAAAGGCCCCGGTATGTCCAAGGATACCTTCGTCCTATCGAAAATAGGGATATCCTCCGTGGTCGTCGCGATCAATCCCTAGACACACGTAAAAGTCAATGATAGTTCGATATATTTTTAGAGTGTATTTAACATCTTATGCAGTAGATTAGTGGAGGTAATTTTACTTATAGGGTATTGATCAAAATCCACTATATATTACAGTATAAATATCTATCTATATATTAGATCAGTAGAGAAAATTTTACTCATAGGATAATTAGCTTAAATGATTCATTAATATTTCATCTAGTATAAATGTCTATATATCGGATTAATCAGAGATAATTTTACTTGTGGAGATCCACTATTAATATTTCATATAAACATCTATGTATCAGACTAGTACAGATAATTGTACTTATGGAGTATCGAGTAAAACAGTCTATTATTAATATTTTATATAGTATGAATATTTTCATATCAGATAATTTTATTCAAATAAGTAAACATCGGTATTATGAAATAATGCCGACATAATCGGTCTGTTTTTTTCTGTGTTACTTCTTCGATTTTTCTGTATCCAGCGATGTATTTACGGCGTCATGCAAATCTTGTGTATATATATACACACAGAAGAAGAAAAAAAGATCGAGACAACTGTGTTCTATACGCTGATATAACCACCGATGTAATTATAAACTAAATATTTTCCGGTCAATTTAATCTCCGCTATTTCCTCGTGCGTGCTCGTTGATATTTAAAAAGGCTAATTGGCTACGTCATTCTCACAGCAACAACTCCACTGATTCGCAGCCGAGCCTACGCATCTTCAGGGAGGGAAAAATAGGAAAGGTAATGGCATTCATGAAAGACTGAATGACTCGTCTGGTAGACAAAGAAAGCCTGCTCCTGGTTTTATTTCAGAACAAAGAAAGAAAGAAACATTTTGTCATCATCCGCTTGTTGTTACCTCAGCAACTGGTGTAACACTTGGAGAACGTTAAGGTTAAGTAATTGTATTTACAATCGATTTGCACAGCGTCGAGGCACGCGGGACGCGACAGTCCACCGAAACAATTATTTACAAGCTCGTACAATCGGTGAACCGACATCGGGGGTAAAGGGGTAATCGTCCTCCGGCGATCTCTTTCTAAACATTGGAAGGTTACTCGTGTGTCTTGGGGTGGGCTTGTGTCGCCGAATGGGGAATAGGACACATCCTGGATGGTTTCATCGGCGATGCTAGAAACGAAAAATCCATTGTACAATTCTGTCGTTTACACGTTGCCAACGTATCGAGACAGCTCGCGTTCTCGTCACAGTCCTCTCTCGTTACTTTCTCATATTCTTTTTTTTTTTTTTTTTTTCCTAAAGCTATGCGCTTTTCCAGGCGAGGTGTTTAGTTGCGTCATGAATCCTCTGTCGCAAGCGTGGCTGCTGATCCCTTCGGACGTGTCCAAACGCCAGGGTCCTCGTTCGCACCGCGTCCGCTTTTTAAGCCGTATAATACGCCCCTTGCGGTGGCTCGTATTCGTACTGTTCATGGCACAACAGTCATTTTAAATTGGCGGTTTCTAGCTTTTTTTTTTAGCGCTCGTTAATGTGAATCGTGCTGCTCGAGCTAAGGGTTAATCCAGCACGCGTTACACGCGACACACGCCCGTAACCGATGATGGTTAAATGGTTTAATCGTAAACGTTGCGAGCAAACGTAAAAATGTCCATTATGGTTATTCGTGATAATCGATAGATGAAATGCTACATGCGAGGGGGAGAAATCGAGCAACGAACGCTCGTTTTAACGCCACGGTCGTTTAAGCATGCCAGATCGAACGAGCTCATGCAGTTCTAATCTTCAATCGTTGTGTTCATCAAGGATGAAACCTAAACAACATGCAACGAAAGCCTCTCACTGCTTCTAATCCATTTGCCATGCCTGCTTTCATGTCGAACAACGAAATGAGGAAGCGAAATGGGAAAGGCTGCTGGTTGCTGTTAATTGTGGATCTCTCTTCCTTCAGCAACATTCTGCATTCATTCG